TGCAGATCTAGCATTTCTTTTTTTTTTTTTTTCCTTCGGTACCGGGGATCGAACTTGGGTCTTTGCGCCTGCAAGGCAGGCGTGGGAACCACTGAGCTAAATCCCCGGCCCGATAGATAGATTTTTAAATCGTCCTATTTTAGAAAATTGTGAAAGTCTGAAATTTTTAATTTTTCAAAACTATGAAGCATTGTATACTCACTAAAACAGATCTTTACTTAGTCATGCACATGTTCTCTGGCTTAATCCTCGATTCTGAATAACCTGGGAGGAGCATGCATGTGAGGATTCATATAGGCCACTTTGCTTTCACATTTCACTTTCAGGTCCACTTAATGCTAATTAGTAGGTGCCAGTTTATTCAGTGAAAAAACCATGGTCAGTAAATCCTTCATATCTCTCTGGCACTGTTTTCTTTCACATTCAGTAGTATATATGATACCAGGCAATATAGGCTGCTCCATGGTCACATGCACAGAACAGCAAAGTATCACAGAAAGTTCAGTAGTCAAGATATTCCTTCCCCTCTTTTAATTGAAGGAGATGAGAGAAACAGTACTGATACTGGGTTCCTGGAAACGTTCTCACTCTTGAGTATTCATGTTTATACTAAAATATCTGTAAGACTGCCTAAATGTCTCTCTTAAAAATTATGCTGAGTAGCTGTGGCACCATCACTTTCTTATTCTTACTGAGAAATGAAAATGTATTCACAAAACACTGATGCTTACAGATACATGAATTTACAATATAATGTATGGTTTACACACGACTGTGTTGTCTGATCCTGGCCAGTGGCATAAAAACACATGGACAACAGTACTTCCAGGAAATGTTGTCTTTCATGATAAGGTCCCTCATGGGTCACTTGCTCTAGAATAATCCAGCTGCCCTGTCATGAGAATGCTCAGCCAGGCTTGTGGAGGAACCTTCTTGCAGAGGAACCAACTGGCCAGCACCAGTTTGCCAACACATGAGTGACACTGGGCGCAGACCTTCCAGCAAGAATGGTGGCACACACCTGTAATCCCAGCACTCTGAGAGGCTGAGGCAGGAGGACTGCAAGTTTGAGCCCAGCCTGGGCAATTTAGTGACCTAGGAAGACCCTGAGACAAAATAAAATAAAAATTAAAAAACAAAATATGTAATCATACACTCTTAATTCCAGCCCCGTACACTCTAGATCCAGCCACCTCTGAAAAAGCCCCACTTACGACCTCATGAGGCTTTGGGGGGGACATCTAAACACAGCCATAACATTCTTTTAAGCAAGAAATTTGATGTATGTTCAGAGAAGATCTTTCTGACTGTTAGATGGAGAATGAATGGTGAGGGCTAAGAATGGAAGCCCACACACAATTCCGGAGAGAAGTAACAGACACTAGGGTCAGAAAAGTGCAGATGCTGAGAAGTGGCAAGGTTCTGAGTGATTAGCCAGAGTATAGCCCAGAAAGATATTCACAAAAAAATCTAGGACATAACACAAAAAGGAGTTTCAGAAAAAGATATTCATAAAATAATAAATTGAAAGAATTAAATCAGTTTTAAATTGAAATATCAAATTAAAAAAATAATGAAAGATGTGGTACTTAACCTGGAAAGATGCAGTTTGGATATATAGGAAAGATAAGGAAATGGAGGTATAAAGAATTTTCCAAGCTATGGGGATGACTTAAATGGAAAATGGTTTGTACTGGGAACAATGAACAGTACATTTTGACAAAAACATAGAGTACACAAAGGCGAATATACTAGTTATATATTGATAAGTAATAAACTATGCCAAAACTTAATTCCTTAAGACAGTGATGGCAAACCTTTTAATAAACTGTCAATGATAACAAACAGCGGCACACGTGCTATAGGTTCACCAACACTGCCTTAAAACAATAAATACTCATCACTTGCTTTTTTGGTTCAGGAATCCAGGATGGGTTACCTGGCTCCTTTGGCTAACGTATCACAACAGGCTGCAGGCATCTCAGGGTTCCACGAGGAAGGATCAACCTCCAAGCCTACTCAGGTAATGGCTGGCAGGCCTCCGGGTGCTCCCTGATTGTTGCCAGAGACAGCCTTGCCATGTGGGCCTTTCCATAGGACAGTTCACAGGATGTCAGTTGGTCTGCCTCAAAGCAAATGCAGGACAGAGCAAGAAAAAGAAGGTGAGAGCCACAGTCTTTTAGTAACCTTGACTCAGAAGTGACATGGTATCACTCTTGCCAAATACAAGTGCATCCATCACTAGGACTCAACACAGAGGGGATTACAAAAGGTATGAGTGCCAGGAGGTGGGAGTCACTGGGGACTCTCTTTAGAAGTTTCCTCTACCATCATAGGAGTAATGGAAGATTCTGTTGAAGATATAGGCTGGGCCAGATCAAAGAAAGCCATGGAAGCCACCCTCAGAATGAAACCATTCCACTGGAAATGAACAGTAGAGGAGCAAATTTAATGTTTAAGTCCATTTTAGGCAAACAGAAGTGTTGGATAATTAGAATTTTGATGGTTGCCCTAAAGAGCAGCTGTTTAGCCAGTTGGGGAGGTTAACTAATTATAGCCCCCAGGAAACAAACGCACTCACTTTTATCAGATAATCCTATAGCAGATAGCTATCTGCTCTTACTCAAACCTAACTTAATGATACATTCTTGAAAATCCAGAATGGGCAACTGATGTTTGTGGCTATTTTTCTGTTAGGAAGTCTCTAAAGTTTGCTTTCAGTAGCTTTCAAAATTCTTTGGTCTCCAACCCAAGGCAAGCAATACATTTTATATCACAACCTAGAATACATACATATTTATACATAATCAAACTACAAAGTTTTTGTTTGTATTGAACTGGCTTTCATGCTGAGCTAAATCCTTAGTCTTTTTTTTCAAATTTTAAATTGTGAGACAGGGTCTTGCTAAGTCACCAAATTGCCTGCACTAGGCTAGAACTTGTGATTCTCCTGCCTCAGCCTCCCAGAGCACTGGGATTATAGGCATCCACTACCACACCCAGCTCTAAAATTTTGTGGAATACTTAGTACTACTATGTACAGTATTCTGACTTTTTTTCTATTCAGTTCTGGTTGCATTACAGAAAAAAATACACCGATCAACTGAATCCTTTACTTTCCACTGCTTAGTCCTGTTCTACAGTTTGAAAAATGCTGCTCTTCTAGAGCATTGGCTTTGAAATCAAAATCATGGTCCTCTGACATCAGGCATTCCCAGTACTTGAGTGAAGGCATCATGTCCAATGCACTCTAGCCAAAGTGTTACAACAAAAACCCAGAGCACATCAGGTCTCAGCTGGAAGCACTTGAGTTAGCAGATGTACCTCAGACTGGCTCTTAAGAAGATGAGTGTAATTAATCATAGAAAAAAATCACCTTTTTTGTCATTTATTATTCAGATTGTGATCATACAGCGATCAGATCAAGATGACAAGCCCCCAACACACATACACACACACACACACACACACACACACACAAACACATGGTCTCAATTTTACAGATATTGTGCTTCTCTTAAATATGAACTGTAATATGAACTGCCAAAAAGTCCAAAGGACAAGAGGGTTAGTTGCTTGCCATAATCACCAAGTCTGAAGACTTCCTTAATGCCTGGAATGAGCAGATTTGAATGACCTAAGATTCACCTGAATGAAAAAAGTGGCTGAAGACCTTTGATTTTCATCAGTTGAAACCTGATAGAAAGGAATTTCCCAGGACCACTCTGTACCCCACCACCAAGACTGCTTTCCTGACAAGAGTAGATTGCTGTTACTAGGGAATGTATGCAGAAGGAAGATAATCAAGATTTTTCAGCTCAGATTAGGTGTCAAACTCCAAACTCCCCAAGTTCACAGTCTTCTTGGGTAGACAAGACTACAAACAAATGTGAACCAAGTTTGAATACTGTACAAGACGGTACAGGTTTAAAATAGTCTGGCACACCTTTTAGAAAACAGTACCTGAAAAAAAAAAAAAAACAGTTCTGAGAAGGGAGGGATTAAAGTAGGCAGAGCAAGGCTTTCCTGGGACTCATGACTAAGCCTTGAGCGATGGTGGCATTTGAGAGGGGAAAAGGGAGGTTGGGCACTAATGCCAGACTCGTTGTTTTGTGCGACTGGTTCGACCAGAGCAGGTTTGGGGTAGGGAACACGGGAAAGTAAAAGGGAAATCTCGTTCTCCTCAGTCAACCACGAATACCGGTGCAGGCCAAGGAACCCGGAGTCTCACGTGCGACGGAAATAGGCAGCTGTACACATTTCCGCAGGAAAACATTGAAAGCAAAAATTGTGATCACACCCAATCTTTTCCTCTGTACCCTGCCCAAAGTCGCCCACGTCCCCAAAAGGAAGAGAACAGTAGGTCAAATAAGTTTGTTTATTCCTTTGTTCAGCTAACATTTCTCTTAAGGGGTCTTTGTTTCCAGCAAGGGAAGGGCTCCTGCCTTTCCGGCCGGGCCAACTTCTCTTCAGGGAAGGGGCCCCTGGATACCCAACTCAGCAAGAACTCATCCCAACTGCAGGAAAGGCGCAAGCTCGGAAGACAGCATCTCAGGGCCGCGCTCCAAGGAAGGCAGCACCGTGTAAATTCGAGGAATGAGAGGCCAGAGGGAGAAAGAGCCCTCAAAGTGGGGGTGGGTTAGCCAAGAGTGAAACGCGCAGGGCAAGAGAAGACGGGGGACTCCTGAGCAGCCCCCGAAAAGCCATGGCATCCTTTCGAGGGGTCTGCCTTTGTTCACATTGTA